GGTCTTCATTTATCATCTTGTGCTCATCTACGTGGAACATAATTTTTCCATTGATTCCTCGGCAGAGCTCTCCTGTTTTGGACGCTTACGCGAATGCTGCCAAATTGCTCATTGTTGAAAATGACATGTTTTGATGACACTGAATTGTTGTTGTACTACATGAATCGTACCCCGTAATCGATATTTTTAAGGACATTCCGCCTCTGTGTTTGGAATGGGAGACATGGGAGCAACGATAGTGGATGCAATCGATACATTGTGGATAATGGGTTTGAAAGAAGAGTATGAGGAAGCTAGAAGCTGGGTTAAGCACAGCTTGGATTTCAAACGAACGGCGGTGCGCTTATAGTGGTTGATATTTGCGTATGAAAAGCTTTTTTTTCAAGGCAGCGAATTTATGGTCTTATTTTGTAGAAAGGCGACTTATCGGTTTTTGAAACGAATATTCGGTTTATTGGAGGTTTGTTATCCATCTATGCCCTCACAAAAGATAAGGTGAGTTTTAGGGTTCAGAGATTTTGCTACAGTCCTAAACAGTTGAGAAAAGATTGCGTACTATATTTACAGATGTATGTAGAAAAAGCGGAAGAAATAGCTAAGCTTCTCCTGCCTGCATTCGATACTCCTACGGGGATCCCTTATGCTGTAGTAAACGTGGTTACAGGTTCGTACTTTAACAATTTGAAGTGGTAAATTAATCACTGGAATTTCACTTATACCATTTTTGGTTAACAGGGATTTTTTTTCGAATTTGTTGTTCTGAATTTTGAAAGTTTGTTTAAGGTTCGGCTAAAAACTATGGTTGGGCCAGTGGTCAAAGCTCGATTTTGTCCGAATTCGGTTCACTACAACTGGAGTTTGATTACCTCTCGCACGTTACAGGAAATAAGATTTACTCGGAAAAGGTAAGCGCATGGTACTAAGGCGGTATTGGAAACTAAATTCAAAAAATGAAGAATCATCCTTTCCAAAACGAACTGATACCAGATCGAGCGAATTCGTGACTTCTTGACGAATATGGACAAACCTAATGGTCTCTATCCGTTGTATCTGAACCCAAAAACTGGCAAATGGGGATCATGTAAGGTTCTTCGATGGCTACACAATTCGTGCTTGATGAAGATGATGTAGAATACTTTTCCATGATATTACAGTGGACCATTCTATTGGTGCTTTGGGTGACAGCTTCTATGAATACCTATTAAAACATTGGCTGATTACGGGCAAGATAGATGATCGCACCAAAAAGGAGTATGACGCTGCTGTTTTTGCCATGGAGAAAAAGATGCTGTTTAAGAGCGAAAAGAGCGGACTATGGTGATTTTTTGATTATTACGCTATGTCATAGTGATTATTACTATTATCTTTATTATTATTGCTTTATGATAATTACGTGGTTTCGAAGTAAATATATT